AATGTCCTTCTGTTCTGCTTCGACTGGACTAATAAAGAAAGGCATATATACGCCATACAGTGTGCAATGAGGTAAATTTTGCCCAGACAGCGGCACTATGGCCTACTCTTGTATCAAATTCCAACTGCCAATTACTATGTACAAACCAATCAGAAGCATGGATACATGTCACATGATAAGTACAAACCAATCAGAAGCATGGGCACAATATGGTATGACTCGTGTAGGCCTACCATATTTTAAAACGTTCATTGTGTCTTTAAAAATATTGGATATTAGGATCCCACATTTTCATGGCAACATAACAACATCAATATGGTGGGGCTGCCCAATCTTGAAATATTTTACTCTCGAATATTATTACTGAGAGAAATTATCTCTTATCGGACCAGAAAGTCATTCATCTTTCCCCACAATACTGTAAAACACAGTTTTATATTTAATTCTCGAACTTCTAGAGTTATGACCCTTGTTTTACTTTGTTGAACCTTGTGAGTGTTTGAACGACAAAGTTTATCATCCGATCTGTATGAAATTTATATGCATTATTTGAATTAGTAAAACGAAAAAGTCTGTTGAATTTCAACAATTTCGGTAGATTACTTCCAGAGTTACGGCCCTTGTTTTAGTTTTTAGAACCTTGTGAACCCTCAAACGACGAAAATTATAATGTCATCTGTATGAAATTGTCTATTAAATTCCCCTAATTACCTACAAAAGAATAAATATGCGACAACCCTTGTCGACTGCTCGGACAATTTAGCTGCTGTGGGCGTATGTTTTGTTTTTGGAAGGGAGGGGAGAGGGGGGGTGTACCCGATCTTGAAATATTTTAGTATGGAATATTATTACTGAGAAAAATGATCTCTTCTCAGAACAGAAAGTCATTCATCATTCACCACTATACTTACAAGTTTTGTCTGATAGCTACTGGCAATCTTCCAATAATTTGGCAATAAGACCAAGGTCTTCTGTAGCAGAAATCAATTGACCTTTGATTCGCTTCACTTGCTACCGAGATTTTCGACAATAAATCGTCCCATCATTTATTACCATGGCCGTCAGATCGAAGCGAGCGATATCGAGTGAACTGTGAAGCCACTCAAAACATCTAAGTTCCTTAGTTTCTTTGACCATGTCGAAAATATTCCTTAATTTTTGTGAAAACGTTAATGAAGTAATGGTTGTCTGCGATGTAAATTAATGAATATTTTACTGCAGAAGAAACTAAGACAGGCCGATATTAATCTTGCATAATGCGTGTTTAATAGTAATGTTTAATCTTTTAGAGGCATTTAGTAAAGAGAGAGAGAGAGAGAGAGAGAGAGAGAGAGAGAGAGAGAGAGCAGTAGGATGTTAAATCCCATTTAATTTCTTCCCCAGGATTGTTATATCAGTTGTATTAAGATTGTCCCATAGATAATTGACCTTTGACCCAGGATTGTAATTAGTTGTATATAAGATTAATTAAGAGGTTGGATAATAACCAATGTAAGACAGGTCATTGACCTAGTGATATAATTAGGATACCATCACAACCTATTGTAATGTATAGAAGAATTTCTATTGATTTTGGGGGGGTTGGATGGCTGAATGGTTAGCACGTGTGTACTCTATCAAATATCAGAAGGTCTGTTATTGAGTCAACTGGCATGGTTTCGATTCCCTGGTTGTACGTGACAAGGAGTAGGGTTGCCTGTCCAATTTTGTGGGTTTTCTCCAGGCCCTCCGGTTTCCTTCCACTGCTAAAGAACCGTACGTGCAAGCTAATTATTGAAATAAAATTGAACCATGTGTTGGTCCCGAAACGTTAAACCCCATCTCTCTCTCTCTCTCTCTCTCCTATTGTGATATATAGAAAAATTTCTATTGATTTTTACTTTGTTTACTTATTAATACTAGCTACAGTCAACCAGTCTCTACTTACCTCATTTATATTCCTAACTAGTTAAGATCAACCAGTCTCTCGATCTCCATACATCATTTTATTTCTCTACTACATATAGCTAAGGTCAACCAGTCTCCCCATACATCATTACCTTATCAATAAGTCTATGTCAGTTGGAATAGTTTTTCATTAATCAGATTTTTATCATAGTAAATAATTCGAACTCTTGTTCATTATTGATCTCTCTATCAAGTCGGCGTGCACGTAAAAGATCCCTTGTCAGTTGGAATTCGATATAAGCTTTCTGTGGAAAAATCAATTATACATGTAGGTCAAAACGATCGGAGTCCCATCGAACAAAGGCCCTTCTGAAATGGCCTCCCGGACAAATACAAAATGAAATGAAATGGGGTTTAACATCCTACTGTTCTGCTCCTATACTGGGCTAATGAAGACGGGCATATGCCATACAGTGTGCTATGAGGGAAATTTTGCCCGGGCAGCGGCACTATCGCCTACTCTTATATCGAATTCCAACTGCCAAGGGATCTTTTACGTGCATTCCAATGTATACACGGGACCTCGGTTTTTCGTGTCATCCGAAGGACTAGACAGCTGTCCTTGTCAGGCCCTCCATCCTGCATCACTGACAAGGGGAAACCACGCCGGAAAATCTGAATGAACTTTCTCGGCCAATGCAGGGATCGAAACATACATACATACATCGATAATAAATAGACATATTTATAAATATTTTAATTTATTTTACAACATAATGTAATTACCAGAAGTTAGATATTCAGTTAGATTTATTTTATGATAAAATAATTAACAGACATTAACCTACAATATGTTTTCATATATAAATAACATAGGTTTCCATTTAGTTCTCAGAGGACTTGCAATGTCTGTGGCGTCCACATTTAGAAGATGACTGCTTTAATAGTTCTCGGATGACTTGCAATGTCTGTGATGTCCACATTTTTGTCTTACTGGTGTCCATGTGTTACTCGTTTTCTAGGTTGGTTTGTTCATTCTGTGTAATATTACTTCAGTTCTATACAGGGCCATTGTCTGGTGATAAATGATGATGATGAAGTAGAAAGTGACTCGGAAATGAGGATTATTGTGATATGACATCGGCCCTATTGTGTTCATACTGGGCCCTTGTGATATGACATCGGCCCTATTGTGTTCATACTGGGCCCTTGGGGATGTTAATTCTGTCCTACTGTGTTCATCTGGGCCCTTGGGATGTTGATTCTGTCCTATTGTGTTCATACTGGGTCCTTGGGATGTTGATTCTGTCCTATTGTGTTCATACTGTGTGCTTGGGATGTTAATTGGTCCTATTGTGTTCATACTGGGTACTTGGGATGTTAATTCAGTCCTATTGTGTTCATACTGGGTACTTGGGATGTTAATTCAGTCCTATTGTGTTCATACTGGGTCCTTGAGATGTTAATTCAGTCCTATTGTGTCCATACTGGATTCTTGGGATATTGATTCTGTCCTGTTGTGTTCATACTGGGCCCTTGGGGATGTTAATTCTGTCCTACTGTGTTCATACTGGGTCCTTGGGGATGTTAACTCAGTCCTATTGTGTTCATACTGGGTCCTTGGGATGTTAATTCAGTCCTATTGTGTTCATACTGAATTCTAGGGATGTTAATTCATACCTATTGTGTTCTTACTGGGTCCTTGTGATATGACATTAGTCCTGTTGTGTTCATACTGGATCCTTGTTATATGACATCTGTCCTATTTTATGTATACTGGGTCCTTGTGGTATGACATCTGTCCTGTTGTGTTTATATTAGGTCCTGATTATGAATATATTGATACAGAAGGAAGTAAGGTGATGTGTACATGTATGACGGGTGTGACTTCTATGTATCCCGCTCTTTCTCTGTCGCCGCACCCACTCTATGGAACGATGTACTGCCTAGCATCCGCACAATAGACGCATTAGCATCTTTTAAAAGTTCCCTAAAAACTTTACGTTTTAAACAATACTATTCTTCAAATTTTTAACCTTGAAGTATTTTGATAGCTTTTTAGTTTTTCTTTTTTGTTCTGATATTTTGTGTTAATTTTGTAAAGTCTGTTGATATGTACTTGTGACTGACTGTAAACAATAAATTATTATTATTATTATTATTTTATGCTCTCAGATTAGACATCTGGGATATGTTTCACGAAGAATAACTTACACTTTCTGATCACGCCTTAAAGATACAATATGGGAGATTAGATATAGAGCTGACAGTTTTCACTATAATAGTTAAAAACTAGATAACGTAAAGAGAATATGCTGAAAATTTCAGTCAAATTTGTTTCACTCTGAGCCGAGAAAACCAAATGTCAAAAACATTGTGGCCTCGATTGTCCTTGTTACCATTGTTACGATAATAAAAAAAAGTCTCAATAACATGTATCTATTTTTACGGTTAATCACGAGAAGCCGTTGAATCGCAGATCAGATTCAAATCTGTTTGAAATCATACCTATCAGGTGGCATCAAGAGTTGATTATATGGTCTTGTCATGTTAATAAATGTCTAATTAATAATTTATATAACATTTCAGCTCTAAAGAAAGACCTGCAATAGGCAGATTTAGCTCTTGCACAATGTATGTTTAAAGGATTTGGCGGATCCTTGCAAACTATGATATTGGGACAGTTGGATCTCTAATGGTTCAGTTCCATTCAGTATTTACAAAGATATGAATTTCGCAACATTCTCCACTCTCTGCAGACGACGATACATACATGATATATACACGGCAAAATCTTTTGATGGGGGGTAGAATGGTTAGCGTGTCCATGCTGTTTCATACAGTCTGTCATTAAGTCAACTGGCATGGTTTCGATTGCCCGGTTGCATGTGTCACAAAGTCAGGTTGCCTGTCCAATCTCATGGATTTTCTCCGGGTCCTCCGGTTACTTCCCAATGCTAAAGACCCCTACGTGCAAGCGAATTATTGAAATAAAATTAAACCATATGGTAGTCTCAAAATGACCTAGTTTGTGTCGAGTGGACGTTAAACCTCATCTCTCGCTCTTGTTTGATGAACCTCTGTGTAATCTGATTGAACCAATTGTATTTCAGGTGTGGAAAAAGAGCCCAATCCCAGTATCTGGTATGTCAACTCAGAATCAAGCAATGTTCCCATGGTTACCAGTATGATGTCATCAGATGCTGGTAACCATGGCACCAATGATAAACGTTCACCCGCTCCGCGTACCAAACCAAAAGGAACGACAGAATATGAGGTAATTACCTTTTTCTTGGCACCAAATGTTTTATAATTATATGTTGTCAGCCGTCCGTCCATCCGTTATTTTTTACTTCTGCTACTAAAACGTTTATGGATTTTAACAAAATTCGGTATGTATGTTGCCACTTGCCAGGGTGGTGTATATTCAGCTTTGTTTAAACAAAGTTGTACGTGACAAGGAGTAGGGTCGCCTGTCCAACCTTGTGGGTTTTCTCCGGGTCCTCTCTCTCTTAAACAAAGTTGCTATGGTCCCATCCTTATACTGAAACCCATGTGGATTCTTGCTTCCCCTCTGTAGCACTAGAACCTGCTACTTCATCCCTCTCGCTGTGGCACTAGTCTCCACACCACTGGTTGTAGCACTAGAGGACCCTAATCCACCCAACAGGTTGTGCCACTAGAGGGCCCTAAACCACTCAACTGGTTGTGCCACTAGAGGGCCCTACTCCACCCAACTGATTGTGACACTAGAGGGCCCTGGTCCACCCCACTGATTGTGGCACTAGAGGGCCCTGGTTGGGGCACAAGAGGACCCTAATCCACCTCTGTGGTTGTGGCACTATAGAGCCCTAATCCACCCCTCTGATTGTGAAACTATAGGGCCCAAATCCACCCCTCTGATTGTGGCACAAGAGGTCTGTAGTCCAATCCTCTGATTGTGTGGCACCACAAGAACTTTCATTCTGATTAAAATCCAGATCCTATTTCGTTTCGTTTTTAATAGTTCAAACTTTTGTTTTCCTTGTCTTTACTACACTAGGATCTGGAACTGTGGGTAAACAAGTAGAAATGTCAATGCTGATTGATTAATCAATGTCTGACGTCATAATGTCGAAAGCTGCTCATATGACCTCTGACACGACCTTCCACTAGAACCAGTCAGATCTTCATGCAGTATAGGCCATCAAAAGATTAAAAAAACGAAATGAAATATAGATCTGTATTGTAATCAGATTGTAGAACATTTTGATGAATGAAGAAGTTTTTATATTTGATTTGATTTTGTTTTTAGGTGAAATTGCATGACACGTTAGCGAGTATAGCAGCCCAGTTTGACACGACACCCTCAGAACTGATAAAACTCAACAAACTGGTGATGAGAACAGTCTTTCCGCAACAGGTCAGTTATAAAATATCATTCATCTTAAACATACATTATGGGAGATCCGATAACGAGTTGGCAGTTCTCAATATAATAGTTAAAAACTAGATAATGTAAAGGCAATTTGCTGAAAATTTCATTTAAATTGATCCACTATGAACCAAGAACAAAGCGATTGAATTTCCGGCTAGCCTTGATCATCATTACTAAAGTCAATACGATAAACAGCATAGTTTCGATAATCCAATTAATCGTTAAATCGTGAAGGAAAGTGATGCAGTAAATTGGCTCACAATACACTAAAGATCGCAGCCTAGCGATGCCATCTAGAGTTGATTATGGTCTGGATAGGATAATTAATGTCTAATTAATAATTTATTAGTTATTCCTGGGACATAGGGGAGGGAGAGAAAAATTGGTTGAACTAGATATTTACTGGGTATTCCAGTCTTGATATATATTAGAGATACTGGGTATTCTTGTCTTCACGTAATTTAGGTACTGGTTGTTCCAGTCTTGATATATTACCTATAATAGGTATGTCTCTATATTAAATGTATATAGGTATTATATGTACTGGGTATTCCTGTCTATATTGTAGGTATTATATGTACCAGATGGATCAGCTAGTTTATCAGATGAAGATATCTCAACACCACCACCACCACCACTAGTCAGTCCACAAGAAAAAATTAAATTTGTAAGTTTTACATTTAATAGTCTACAGTCCTCACCACATACTGGGATGGTCTAGTGATCTACAGTGTCAGTAGTCTATTGTCCTCACCACATACTGGGATGGTCTAGTGATCTACAGTGTCAGTAGTCTATTGTCCTCACCACATACTGGGATGGTCTAGTGATCTACAGTGTCAGTAGTCTATTGTCCTCACCACATACTGGGATGGTCTAGTGATCTACAGTGTCAGTAGTCTATTGTCCTCACCACATACTGGGATAGTCTAGTGAGAGACAATGAATGGGGTTTAACATCCCCTCAACACAAACTTGGTAATTTTGGGACTAACATGGCTCAATTTTATTTCAATGATTCACTTGCACGGTTGTCTTTAACAGTTTGAGGAAACTGGAGAAAACCCACAAGGTACGACACATGACTCCTTATCACATTCAAGACTTGTCTCAATCACAGACCTTATGATTTCACATTTATTTTTTTATAAAAAAAACCCCCCAAAAAAAACCCACCACTAGACCACCCAACCCCTGTTGCCAGGCAACATGTTGGTAATGCTTGGGTATAAGACATCATTTATAATTATAAATGAATGGATTTTGATGTTTTCATTTGCAGGATGTTCCTCTAGTCAAAATGGCTGACAAGCCGCCTGCTAAAGTACCAGGTCATGTAGAGAGACAGATTTCCCCAGTTTCCCCGCCGCACGACCCAGAAATACTTCTCCCACATAAATTATCGGAGGATGAAGTCGAGGTTATTGATAAAGAATGTCTGGAGAGATTTATTAAAATAAATGTCAAACATATTACAGATGGTCAGGTGAGTTACTTCCCTTTGTTAAATATGGGAGAGTCACTTCCCTTTGTTAAATATGGGAGAGTTACTTCCCTTTGTCACATAATATATGAGTTGCATCCCTTTGTTAGAGTAAGCCTCACATAATATATGAGTTGCGTCCCTTTGTTAGAGTAAGCCATTGGAGATGCTCGATTGAACGTTCCAGAATTGAATTCTGTCAAACCTAAAAATAGTGACAATTGAGTGAAAATGGGATTTGGGGGCTAGACTGCATGCGATGACTGCATGAGAAAATATCTCAACCAATCATGACAGCTGAAACATATTCGTGTGTTTGATTACGTCACGATTCTACTCACACCGCCTCTGTTGTCGGGAATGACAGAACTGTGACAGGGCTGAATTCCGTGTCACTCGATTGCGATTCCGCCAATTCGGAACGTTCGGACGGACAATCGAGCATCCCCTTCAGCTAGCTAACCTGGAGGTCCGTTGGTTAAATACAGGAGAGTTACTTCCCTTTGTCACATAAGGTATGAGTTACATCCCTTTGTTAGAGTGGGTAAGACGTTGGCTAGCTAACCTCGAGGTCCTGTGTTCGATACCAGTGTTAGGCGAGAAAGTTCATCAGAATTTTTAGGCGCGGAGCCCTCCCCATTGTCAGCGATCCAGGACAGAGAGCCTTTAGATTGGACATAAAACCAAGGTCCCATGCACACATTAGTGAAAGAACCCTTGGCAGTTGGAATTCAATATAAGAGCAGGCCGTAGCGTTGCTGTCCGGGCAATATTTGCCTCATAGCACACTGTATGGCGTATGCCCTTCTTTATTAGCCCAGTCGGAGCAGAACAGTAGGATGTTAAACCCCATTTTATTTCATTTTGTTTTGTTTTGTAATCACATTATATTACAATTTGCCGAATTATTAGCTCGTGCATGCTGTATCATAAGGTCTGTCATTGAGTCAGCTGGCATGGTTTCGATTCCCTAGCTGAACGTGACCAGGAGTAGGGTCGCCTGTCCAACTTCATAGGTTTTCTCCGGGTCCTCAGGTTTCGCAAGCGAATTATTAAAATAAAATTGAACCGTATGTTAGTCCCGAAGTGACATAGTTTGCGGCGAATGGACGTTAAACCCCATTTCTCTCTATCTCTATATTGCAATTTCATGGGAAGATTGCTCCATACTTTGACAATTGCAGTGACACCCTAAATCCATTGACGACCCACCTTGGTCATAGTCAAATTTTGTTTTTAGATGCAAATTTTGAAATATTGTATACAAACATTCAATTGTTTATTGCATTTTTGCCAACCATAGTCTTGATCAAAAGAACATCTATCTGAAACAGTACGTTACCATTAGTTGTCTTGTTGATCCAGTCTATATTTTTTATTTTTTTCCCAGGGAGTAGTAAGTGGTACCTTATTGGTAACACCCAACGCTGTCATGTTTGATCCAAATGTTTCGGATCCGCTGGTTTTGGAACATGGAGCGGAGAAATACGGAATGATAACTCCTATGGATATGGTGATTAGTGCTGCTATGTATCATGACATCGCTGCCATGAAACTACGAGGACAGAAAGGGTAAAATATAAGTTTTCTTTATTTGAAAAATGAAATGAGATGGGTTTGAATGTCCTACTGTTATGCTCCAAACTGGGATAATGAAGATGGGCATACGCCATACAGTGTGATATGAGGGAAATTTGGCCAGGACAGCGGCACTATGGCCTTACTCTTATATCGTATTCAAACTGTCATGGGATCTTTTACGTGCACGCCAATGTGTACACAGGACCTCGGTTTTTCGTCCCTTCTGAACGACTAAACAGCTGCCCTTGTCAGGCCCTCCGTCCTGCATCACTGACAAGGGGGAATCACGCCAGAAAATCTGGATGAACTTTCTCAGCCAATGCAGGGATCGAAAAACCCGACCTCCAGGCTAGGGAGCCAACGTCTCGCCCACTTTACCACAATTCATTTTACAAATTTTGCCTCTGGACATTGAAAGTCATATTTAAGGGGAGGTAACTATTCTAGTATGACATTGAAAGATTTTTATCTTAAAGATACATTATGAAAGATTAGATAAAGAACTGGCAGTTCTCATTATAATAGGTAAAAACTAGATAATGTAAATAGAATATGCTGGAAATTTCAGTCAAATTGATCTACTCTATGCCAAAAAAATCTTATTTTAAAATCACTGTACCCTTGATTGTCATTGTTACTGCTGTCACAATAATTAACAAAGTCCCGATTAACCGTTTTTGTAGTTTATCTTTATCTTCTCGGACACATCGAGAGTGAATTATGGTCTGGTCATGTTAATAAATGTCTAATTAATAGTTTATATGATATTTCGGGGGGTTGGATGGCTGAATGGTTAGCGTGCGGGCGCTGTATCATAAAGTCTGTCATTGAGTCGACTGGCGTGGTTACGAATCCCCGGTTGTACATGACAAGGAGTAGGGTCGCCTCTCCAACCTATTGGGTTTTCTCCAGGTCCTCCGGTTTCCTCCCACTGCTAAAGACCCCTACGCGCAAGCGAATTATGTAAATAAAATTAAACCATATGTTAGTCCCGACATGACCTAGTTTGTGTCGAGTGGACGTTAAACCACATTTCTCTCTCTCTCTCTCTCTCTCTTATATAATATTTCAGGCCTAAAAAAAGACCTGCAATAGGCAGATTTATCCCTTGCATAATACATGTTAATTGATTTAATTATTTCAGTGCTGATACGTCTCTACCCAAACCCCAGATTTACCACACGCACACCTGTCCTCTTTACCATCATAAAGATCATCTGGATAGTCCGGACAACAACGAACTTGCTACGGACCTCGACAGCATGAGACCTAGTCGTTCCACCACCGTTGAGAGCCTTTTATCCGAGGCCGGGAGTATGTGTTCGTGTGGAGCAATGTCGCGTGAGGCTAGCGAACTTAATGAATCGGTCGGCAATGTCAGCACCTTGGACACGAGCCACACAACACCGCAAAAACTTTCTGATATCGACAGTATAATTCCCCAAAATGTCCACGATCCACTCGCTTATGACTCTTTTGATTCCGAACTAACTGTGCAATCCAACATTGTTCCCTCTCAAGGGGATGGGAGTAACCTCCCTTCTCAATGGGATGAGAGTAACCTCCCTTCTCAAGGGAATGAGAGTAACCTCCCCTCTCAAACTGACAGTATTAAACAATCAAGTGATAATACAGCAGAAAGAAATATTAATGACACTGTGAAAGCTGACATTGTTTCCGAAAATGTTGTCGATAGTTCAGAGGTCATTGAGTCAAGTTCCGAAATCGTTGGATCGAGCGATGCCAAACCCGTTTCCCAAACTGCTGATGAAAGCCAAAAGGAAGTCAGTGAAATGGTAGACACAAATGAATATGAGTCGAAAATCGGAAGTATTTCGTATTTTCCTATCGAGGAAAATGCAGACGGGAAACTGGTGGTTAAAGGAGAGGAAGACACAGAAAACGCTTTACCAAAGAATTTACGCGTGAATACGGACATCAAGGAGGACTTACCGCAATCACAGTTCAGTCCTTTAAAAGTGTCCGCTCAGCATTTGAACAATTTTGTGAATTATGCAACCGGATTGTTCCGCAACACTACAGAGGATCAAGTTGTTCCGGATATTAACGATATGAAGGAACCAATCAGTGAAGAGACGGACAGTAAGTCCGGGCAACTTGACAAACAGTTGGAGGTAGAAAACGCTATCAAGTTAGAAGATAAACCAAATTTATTCCAGACGCTCGACAGTAAGTATTAATCTTATATATTGTCCGTTCTCTACCTCTACAGAGGGAGCTTTAGATCATAAGGTCTGTCATTGAGTCAAGTGACGTGGGTTCGATTCCCCACTTGTACAGGACAAGGAGAAGATAGAGTCGCCTGTCCAACCTCATGGGTTGTCTGGTTCCCTCCCACTGTTAAAGACCCAGGCGATTGTGTCAAAGTCTTAATTTGAGTCTGACAATATGGGGGGTTGGATGGCTGAATGGTTAGCACTAACACGTGCATGCTGTATCATAAAGTCTGTCATTGAGTCGATCGGCATGGTTTTAATTTCCGGGTTGTACTTGACAAGTAGTAGAATCGTCTGAACCATGTGTTAGTCCCTAAATGACCTAGTTTGTGTCGAGTGGGCGTTAAACCCCATTTCTCTCTCTCTCTCTCACCTGACAATGTCTTGAACAGGTGCTTTATTTCCAGGCTTGTATATTTCTACAGGCATCATCCTATTTTAGTCTTGACCGGCACCATATACCAGTATAGAACCAGTCTGGCCTACTGTTGTCTCAATTGTGATGGTGTAACAACATGGCTTCTGATCTTAGTTCTATGTAATGACAGATTCTTACTCAGTCTCTCGCTCTGACCTACTATAACTTATACACTGTCCCCACCACTGACCAACTATAACTTATACACGTTTCCCCACCACTGACAGACTATAACTTATACACGTTTCCCCACCACTGACCGACTATAACTTATACACTGTCCCCACCACTGACCAACTATAACTTATACACGTTTCCCCACCACTGACCTACTATAACTTATACACGTTTCCCCACCACTGACCGCCTATAACTTATACACTGTCCCCACCACTGACCAACTATAACTTATACACGTTTCCCCACCACTGACTGACTATAACTTATACACGTTTCCCCACCACTGACCAACTATAACTTATACACGTTTCCCCACCACTGACCAACTATAACTTATACACGTTTCCCTACCACTGACCTACTATAACTTATACACGTTTCCCCACCACTGACCGACTATAACTTATCGCGTTTCCCCACCACTGACAGACTATAACTTATACACAATTATCATTCAGTTCGTTTTCACTGATACTTATTATTTTATATTTATTAAAGTTCTAAGGGTGATCTATTAAACTTCTAACAAAACAGTAACCATGACAATAGTTGGCAACACTATAACCATGACAGTAGTTGGCAACATTCTCTAACAACACGGTAACCATGACAATAGTTTCCCACACTCTCTCTGTATATGGCTCTCGGTTTAGTCTTGATTGATTGGCAGTCACTGACGAGAGAACATACCAGTACCATGAAATTAGAATTCAAATTATTTACCCATAAATACAGTTTTGTTTGTAAAAACACTTAAAATTATAAAATCATTTGATAATGCAATAGATTGTCATATTTTTGAGAAAAAAAAATATCTTGTTCATCAGCATGAGATGAAAAAAATTAATTTCAAATTTTATAATTTTTGTTACCGATGTAGACCAATTTGTATGATAATTTTCAAATATCACTGTCAAGAAAATTGTGATTTTTGTGACCGTAAATACATAGTAGAAATTTGATCAATTAAAACGTAGATATTGGGATTTATTGGATCGAACATCCCCGACTGAAAGAAGGAGTGAAATTTATAGAGTTAAGACGCAATCTGATTCAAACACAGATCCTATTTCGTTTCGTTTTTTATAGTTCAAAATTTCGTTTTACTTGTCTTTACTACACTAGGATCTGGAAGAGTTGTTATATTACTGGCATTTTGGTTGAAGTGAAGGATTAACCAATGAAACGATCTGTTACGGCGACTTCTTGGTGTGGGATGCATGGAACTATGGGCAAACCACTAGAAACATCAGCACTGATTGATTAATCAATGTCTGATGTCATATGGTCAAAAGCCGTTCGTACGACCTCTGACTCGACCTTTTAGTTCAACTGGTCAGATCTTCGTGTCGTGTAGGCCATCGAACGTATAAAAAACGAAATGAAATATAGATCTGTATTTTATTTAGATTGGTTAAAACGTATCTCGGAAATAGATTCACCTTTAATTTCATGCAGTAGAGACTTGACAATACATGTAGTTTCAACATAAAACAATATTGGCTACATCTTGTTTGCTTGTTATGTTCTTTTTTTGGTATGTCACATATTCAATTTTTTTAATGGAAATACAACATTTTCAATCTTTTAAGATGATGATTATGGAATTTTCTATCGACTCATGCCATGCATTTTGAAGTAATATCTATAAAACCACTGTTTATTGAAATAAGACAACTAGATGAAAACATACGCACAATATTCTGATTCTTTAAATGGCTTAAAATCTCATATGCCAGATACGACCTTTTCACTTCCCAAAAACGTCTCTGTACTATGTAAGGGGAATAATTCTTTTCTTGATAGTTTGTTGAGGGCCAAATAGACTTTCTTTTATGTTAAATTAGAACAGTGATTCTCAACCAGTGTGCCGCAAAATTTTGAACAGCACACTAAGAAAACGTGAAAAGCCATTCAAATTGAGTATTCACTGGTGTCTACTGCTACGATCTTTATTTAGTTTGAGTCATTCTATGTGTCTATGACTAGTCTGTGTCTATGGTTGTATGCCGTCTATGACATGATGTATTTTAATTTTGTAAAATTCAGATATTTTTCATATATATTTAGCAAGGTGTGCCATTGCCAAAAAAGGTTGAGAACCACTGAATTAGAATAATGCCCAGTAATTGTTATCCATAAATAGTGTTTGATTTCATTGTGTTCCAATTACTAAACACCATTCAAAGAATATATTGACATCAATATGGAGATATGTCCAACCTTATTACATGTACTTGATAACGACTTGTGAAACCTTGTTGAAACGTCGCAGTGAAATAACTATAATAATTGTTATCCATAAATAGTATTTTATTTGGTAATGCTATCAAGTAAAAATATTTTTGTGAAAATAGAAATTACAGTTTTCTGTTTTTTGTCTCAGTTACCGATAGTTCAACAGGCTTAAAGTCTGCTTCCACGGGGGTAATAATACAGATAAATTTTCGGTTTCTAAAATTAAATTGTCAGAATTTTTTGTTTAAGATTCGAGATTAACTTTGACTTTGTAATGAAAACCAGAATCTGAAATTTACATACCTTGTAAGTTTTCACAGTAAAACAGATTGTGGTCATTTATATTTTTACTTTGAAGGGGAAATCCCTAGTTCCATTGGGTGTCGCGGGAGTTGGAAGGCCAAATGGTTAGCGTGTGCTCGTTGTATCATAAGGATCGTCATTGAGTCAACTGGCGTGGTTTCTATCCCCCGTTGTACGTGACGAGAAGTAGAGTCGCCTGTCTAGCCTGGTGGGTTTTCTCCAGGTCCTCTGGTTTCCTCCCACTGCTAAAGACCCCTACGTGCAAGCGAATTATTGAAATAAAATTGAACCGTGTGTTAGTCCCGAATAGACCTAGTTTGTGTTGAGTGGACGTTAAACCACATTTCTCTCTCTCTCTCTCTCTGGACTGATATTCATTTTAACAATTCAACTTTTTCTATATTATGTTCTATAACTACATGCAATTACAAGCAAATATCATTGAATACAGCCATTGGCTATATAATACAGCCATTGAATAACCCAGAGTTGTATTCAATGGCTTCAACAGGGACTACTTTCTTCCAGAATGATGTCACAACTTGGCAACTTACAAAAATACCTCAGATGACAATCATCACCTATAAGTTTGTTATAAATTAGAAACCTTGTAATTACGAGAAGTTTGTTATAAATTACAAAACTTGTAATTAAGATTAAGGGAAGTTTTAAATGAACTTATTTTTTTCTGTTTTTTTTATTTATTAACAGCCATTGGTAGGTAGAATATTATCATGGTTAATGCATGGGCATGTTTATCTTTACAAATTTCATTGATTTTCTTGTTCTCCATTTTTCATTGTGTTACTGTTTGTTCGGCCTTTTATTTAGGGGTGGGGTGGGGTGGGAATTTTTTTTAACATTTTTTTTCTTATTTATGGATTTGATTTTCATTTTCATTGCTTTTGACATTTTTTTATATTTTTTTTTAAGGCGATTTTTTTAAAAAGAAATTAATTTCTTTTAGTCTTGATTTAAAGGTGTGATCTCAGAATTGACAGGTGGGGGGGGGGGTGACTGAATGGTAGATCATAAGGTCTGTCATTGAGTCAACTTCGTGGGGAATTCCCCACCCCACCCCACCCCCAGCTAAAGGCACCTGGGTGCTAGCAAATTATTGGAATAAAAATTGAACCATATGTTAGTCCCGAGATTACCTAGTTTGTGTCAAGTGGACTTAAATATCTCTCTCTCTCTCTCTCTCTCTCTCTCTCTCTTTCTCTCTCAATATTTTATTTTAATTGTTGAATATTTGTTTATATGCTATGAAATTGGATGTTTTTAAAGTATTTGTATTTGCTGAATATTTGGTGTTTTGTTTACTGTCTGTGAAATGTTCATGTATTAATCATCCGTTTCACCTGGCTTTCTTTAAAAGTTGTGTTTGTTTTCACTTCGGCTGAATTTTTAGGCTTCTAGAAACTCATCGACTGTGTTTGTTCTATGCTTGTAACCATTGCTTAAAGGGGCATTATGGGAGATTAGATAAAAAATTGACAGTTCACGCTACAAAAATTAAAACTTAGATAACGTAAATAGAATATGCTGAAAATTTCAGTCAAATTGCTTCACTTATGTGGTCGTAAATTGTCGTCGCCCCCGTCCCTCCGTCCGTCCGGCGTCCGCAATTGCTTGCGGACGCTCTAGAGGCTAAAGTTAATATCTGATTTACTTTAAATTTATACACAGTGTTTAAGGTCTTGAGATGAAGAATCCTATTGATTTTCAGCGATTTCTGATAATTACTGCCAGAGTTATGGCCCTTGATCACTTTGAAAAATCTTGTGGATGCTCTAGAGGCCAAAGTTAATATC